ATGCAATATGTGTTGAAAGGCTGTTTACCAATCCAGTAAGCTGCTTACTTGTTGTTCTGTCGGCCGTGGTTTTCCTGTGTACATACAGGTGCCGTAAAGAAGGCCCAGAACCCATCTAATGAACATGAACTCTTGCTGGCATCCACACAGGACTCCCTTCCTTCTGGTTTTCATCAACACTTTCAGACCCCATTGATGGGAGAACAGTGGCCAGGAACAAAAGCTGAGTATACTGTACAAACACAGCTCTGAGCGGCAGCACACTGACTCATTCTTCAGTGTGTGTGAGAACGGAGGGGGACCCCTTTCAGCCCCTTTGTGTCAGTGTCTGTCAACAGTGTAGTTGGAGGCAGAGCTCATTGTGGTGGCCAGTGTTGCGTATTGACACAGGGCCTCGTTCAGCTTGTTCCCAGGGTCCAACCTGAGCACTCATGAATAATGGAGAGAGGATCCTCAGGGCCAAGGAAGAGCTTCAAGCGCCTGACTGGGCTTTTTGTAAACTGCAACTTAATGCAGGTAAAACTGGGGTCATGGTTGATAATGTATAGTGCTTAACTCGATGAGACTTTGTGTTAATCTGGCTGTCCATCAGAACATTAAAAGCCCCAATAAAAGTATATCCTAAAAGACAAAGGTTATGTTACATAGATTTATCAGGCACATGGGGATACCTCTATAGTGTTTAATTCTCTTCAAATGTGAAGAGTAAAGCCAGCCACTAAGAGAAAAGTTTATCTGACAGTTGTCCAGATAGCAGTCACTGACAAGTAGAAGTGGTCACACATTGTACAAAAACTGTATAAAAATGACAGATAGGGAATTAATACAAATACAGTATTATGCTGCAAAGTGTTTTACAATATAATACTATGTACCTGGAGAATAAAAAAACAATATGCAGCTGTGAAATTTTTTACAGTAATGGATATGTGAAAAATAGCAGCAACACCAGAGATGTGCAAAATTAAAGCAGCAACTTATTTAACTGACTAAGACAGAAACTGTGCAAAAACTGCACAAATGTAACAACTTATTGAGGTCGTTGGGAACAGCGATGGTTATAATGTCTAATAGCTGTTGGGAGGAAGGATTTGTGATAACGCTCCCTGGTGCGTTTAGGGTGCAGCAGTTTGTCACCGAAGGAGCTTTCGAGTTCTGCAACAGCTTCAGGCATGGGATGGGAAACATCCCACAGAGATGTTAATTTAGTTAGGGTCCTTTGTTTTTCCCACCTCATGCACTGAGTCCAGAGGGCATCCAATCACAGAGGTGGCCTTCCTGATCAGCTTACGCAGCCGCATTCTCTCAGCAACAGATAGGCCACTGCTCCAACAGACAGCTCCATAGAAGAAGGCTGATGCCACACCAGAATCAAAGAAGGTGTTTAGGAGCACATCCTGCACTCTAAAAGACCTCAGTGTCCTCAGAAGAAGGCCGGTTAGCAACTACATTCAGCACCTTTAATAGTCATCATAGTTATGTGAATCCAGGACATAGGCAAACATTGTATCATTTCTTGTATCAAAATGGAGAAAATATCACAAGCATCTTACCTAAGAGGCCTGCTGCTGGTCCAAATGAGCCTTTTAAGATAAAAGTTGGCTTTTGCATTTCTGTTGGACATTAAGTTTCAAGAAGCCGAAGGAGCCACAGAGAGGTAGAGAACCCAAGCAGCCAAAGATCCAGTGCTGCATTTCACAGCAAGTAATAGTTCAGAGAGGAATGTCCTCTGCTGGTGTTATTTCACTCCTTTGGTTTTATTCTTTTACCAGGAGAATAGAAAATAAAAAAACAGTGGAAAAGTCGTTTTTATGGGCTTTGATGTACTATCAATTTAAAAAAAAAAATTGATACTGAAATAAAGTTTTTCCTAATACTCTCCCCTACTGAATCGTAAACGTCGATTCAAATTTTATATGACGCATTTTTCATCCAGTGCCTGAAAAAAAAAAAAAAGAAATCATAACTAGACATAACTATCCTACAGTACATCTTCAATCCTTCTTAACCAAAGAAAAACTGACAATGTGATGCATACCTTCAAGTTTGATGAGTGACATTAAACAGGTGGGTGCTGCACGTCTGGCACCAGTAGGGGGCATCAGTTGAGGTCAGGTTCCCAGCAGTTACAGACTATAATCAGAGAGGCTCACACGGCCTGAATGATGTGCCCTCTACTCTTTGCCTTTCTCTGCAGCTGCAGGGAAAAGCATAGGGGCAGGCGCCAGGCCGTGCTGCGTAGACGGGGTAAAGAGAGTGTGTGTGTGTGTGTGTGTACGAAGAGGTCAGGGAGGTGCCTCTTGCTTGTGTGCTTTGAGCTTTTTCATGCTTCCCGCTTTGATCTTCCCTCTCATCCTTTTATCCCACACGCTCCCTGAGCCTCGGGCTGCCGGTTTGCAGCACACCGACAGTGGAGCTGCAAGGGGAGAGTTGAGAGAAAAGGGGGGTGACGGTCTTTCCCTCACACAGTGAAGCTGCTTGTTCTGTCAATAAAGCAAGAGGTGCAGGAAAAGAGCTGTTCATGGGGTTCAGTCAGTGGGTGAGTGGGTGGGGGTCACCAGGAGCTAAACTGATGTACAGTTCTCTCCTCTTTTATCCGTTCTCAGATCTCCCAACAGTGGGATGAAATTCCTCTGGCACAGTGCTCAGAGGGTGGCCTCCTGACCTCTTACAATATGGGAAAGTGCACCCCTCAGCTGGTAGTTATATAAAGCCCACCAGAGTCATGAGAAGCCTTGATAAATCACTCTGCTTGAAGCCACTCGTGTCTTTCTACAGCTCACAAGAAGTTGTTTTTTTCCATTGGTTCTAAAAAGGCTTGGTTCAAAGCGACGCTACGTAATTGATATGGCAAGAAGTTAGATCATCATTTGACCATGCAGTGCGTCAGGATGGACACTTTTATCCTCCTCCCATGATGATCCTTGCGTAACCTTGAACTCACACACATACACAACTGCTGGTACCTGGCTGTACAAGCGCAGATGTATATGCACAGAGAAGAGCCCCCCTAATTGAATGCTAATTAAAAGGAGGAGAGGGTGCTTATCTTTATTTAGACATGTGGTAAGTGTTGGACAGTGGAAAGAAAGTCAGACATCTCTGCAGATGACTGCACTGAATATTTCATGACAAACGAAAGGGGTGTGTTTGTCTCCGAGTCATACAGCTATCCAGCTAAATAAATAATAAAATTCCCTTCTTAAAGTAGACAGAAATCATGGAAAATGTATTTTCTATAAGCATTACATTTGTGTTGCATGGTAATGTTACAACTAAATCTGTTAATGCTATTTCTAGCCGTGAATAAAAAAAAAAAACAAAAAAAACGTATACATTATGTAATTGCTAAGGGACATATATTTCACCTGAAAAAATAATTGCAATGAATATACAGAAGGGAACATCCAATATTATTCGATTTAAGATGAGCTTTCCATTCGTCCTTAAAAAACTGAAGGAAAAAGAAAAACAACAGATCTAGAAGTGGGGCTTGCTTAGATTCTGCTTAATGTTTGTGTAACACTAAAGAGAAAGAGTAAAGGGGGCTGTGCTAACAGGGGCTTTCTGCAGATCACTGGCAGTTTGACTGCAGTGGAGAGTAATGGGGCTGGCAGGGCGGAATCAATTACTGGCCGCAACAAATTTTCCCACAGGTCAGAGCTTGGGAAAGCACTACTTTACCGCAGAGCAGACAGCTGGCAAAGAGCATCCACTGGGAAAGGAGCCGGCTCTCTTTTAAAAAGAGAAAGCCTTTTTATTGTATACATAATATTCAACTAATCACAAACTGACCCCCTTCCATGATTTTATTTTGTCCAGGTGACGGTTGCGGTGCCATTCATACAATATCCATCCAGTCTAAAAAAAACTTGAGCGATTTTTGAAAAGAGCAGTGTTTAAGCCAAGGCAAGCTTACTTTTTTTTGGTGAACTACTTTAAAATTAGCAGGCACGTGCTAAAGTACTGCACAGTAGGAATGATTAAGAAGGATAAATAAAAGCAATTAGGATCTAAATAAAATGTTAGTAAAAAAGTAGAAATAAAACCACAAGTTATACACATGAAAAAACAACATAAAAAACAAGGCAAAAAATTATAAAATCCTTATCCGAATGGAAAAGAAGAAGTGGGTCTTAAGAGCGGATTCACAACTGATTGCTAAAGCAGGGTTCTAATTTTTTGCAGAAAAAAGGGTTTGATAAC